TTTGCTTTCTCTTCGCCTTTAAAAATAAGTAAATTTTTAGTCCAACAAAGAAAATCGGGCCTTTTAGTGCCAATCGTCGTTGTTCCTGAATCTGCCTTGTCTCGATCAATTTCAATGGGTAGAACATTACCAAGAAATCTACAAAAAGTCTCAAGCGGAACTCTAATCATAGAATCCAGAGGATATTGCAGCATACTTTCTGATTTATTGCCTGAAAATTCCCTATCAATTGAACTGGCTAATGCGCTGCTGATGTTCTTTGCTATTGTACTTCGACGTTCTTCTTCCCTTGTGCAAACATAATCACTTAATTCAGGATACATTATTTCTTCGTCAGAGGTTACGGGTAATTTTCGAAGAAGTGGTACATTAATAAGGGATTGAAGATCATTCACTTGAGTTGGGATTTCTTCGAATTTTTGTAAGAGGCCATTACATATCAAAAAACTATTATCGACTAGATCTGCTTGATCATAAGACCGCTTCGGAGCTATTTAGAAAAAATAATAAAGATTAGAAGTAAAGTGAAAATATCATCCGCGCCTTCATAATTCTCACAGGTTGGAACTGAAGTGTTATCACAATGAATTTTTCAATTTAGTTTGAGGCAAGATATAGTTGGCCTTATTGTTGTATTTTTAAACCTAATAGGCAACACCTGTCCAAGTAAAAATGTTTCTTTCATACCTTCTTCAGATGATTGTTTCTTCTTATCTCTTCCTGAAAAATGGTAAATTTGTGAGAACAAGAATGTAAAATGTAAGCAATAATTTTAAAATAATATGAAGATTAACACATAACAATTATCAAAGAGAAAAAATTGCATAATAATAGGAAGGGTGAACATATGGGTGCTTGATAATTGTGATTAGATTTAAGAAATAACCAGAGGAAAATAAATAAATGAATGGAAAATAACTTTTCGTATGTTTTATATTTTTTATGAAATCTGTTTATTACCTTTTTCTTCGAATTCCCGTAACTTCTTACCCCACGCTATTGCTTCATATCTCCATGACTTCATTATCTCCTCTATATTTTCCTTTTGGCCTTCTAAATCAGCTTTTTCTCCTTCGTAATCTTCTTCTACTTTCTTCCTTTTCAAATTATCCAACCTCTCCTCCCATTTCTCCTTCCACCTCTTCAAATTCTCCTTCGCCTCTGTGTTCTCCTTCTGCTTTCTCATGTCTTTGTTCGATTTTTTCATATGTGGCCATTTTTTAAAAAAAAAATTTGTAAATTTAGATCGTAAAATGGTAGCTGGACAATTTATAGAGACACACATGTGATGTCGTCGATTTGCACGATTTTGTTGATCGTTGTGGCGCATCAAAAATTTTAAATTTTTTAATTTTCGTTTTTATATTTCATTTATTAATTTTTTTGTCTTTTCTATAAACACTTATCATTATGCATTTTTTTTTCATATAAAAAAATCCAACTTTAAAATTCCATATGAATTAATTAGAAAATACAAAACTTTTAAATTCTATATCAATGCCTCTTTATTAAACAACTAAATGAAAGTAAAAATTGCAAAAATAACGTTTATAATCAATTAATAAACTAGGAAATGGAAACCATTTTAAGTCCGGAGCGAAATTTAAACAAATTAATTAATTAATATGTAAAAAATTACTGTCACGCCTCAATATAACGAAGTTGCCGATCCAGCCGATCAGGACTTCATTATAAGAATCTTCGTTAACGCTATAATGAATTATTCGGTATGTATAACGAATAATTCGTTATAGCGTTAATGAATTATTCGTTATAGTAGATGATTACTGATTTCATTACAC